TTAAGAAAAGGAGAACAAAATGAAACAGTGTGGCCAGCAGGAGTAGGGAGGTGATCGTGCCCCTGTACTCTTCCCTGGTGAGGCCACACCTCGAGTACCGTGTTCACTTTTGGGCCCCTCACTACAAGAAGCACACTGAGGTGCTGGAGCGTGTCCAAAGAGCAACGAGGCTGCTGAGGGGTCTAGAGCACAAGTCTTGTGAGGAGCGGCTGAGGGAATGGGGGTTGTAAACAACCAACGTCTGGAGAAGAGGAGGCTGAGGGGAGACCTTATCGCTCCCTACAGCTACCTGGAAGGAGGTTGTAGCCAGGTGGGTGTTGGTCTCTTCTCCCAGGTAACAAGTGATAGGATGAGAAGAGATGGCCTCAAGTTGTGCCGGGGGAGTTTTATATTGGATATTAGGAAAAATTGCTTCACCGAAAGCGTTGTCAAGTATTGGAACAAGCTGCCCAGAGAAAGTCACCATGCCTGGAGGTGTTTGAAAGATGTGTAGATGTGACGTTTAGGGAGATGATTTAGTGATGGACTTGGCAGTGTTAGGTTAACGGTTGGACTTGATGACCTTAAAGGTCTTTTCCAACTTAAATGATTCTATGAGTCTGTGATGAAACTGAGATCAAAAAATCAAAGATAAGAAGCGAAATGATTTTACATTTATAATGCTTTTTAGATCACAGCTCTTTGTAAGGGTAAAGATGCAGTTTGGCCATTTACCATACACTCTTAAGGATACATTGATTTTCTAGCAACTTCAAATACTAAAATAGGAATGATGGGACAGAGGATAATTAGGAACAAGGGGAAAGGGAATAATTTAGTCTTGTCTATTATAGCTTTTTTTTTTTTTATCTGACCATCAATATGCAGGAACTACCCAAGCAAGGACGTGATTCCTATGGTTGTTATCTCTCAGGTATTGCGCTTTAAATTAAATAGCGGAAGAGCAGATCTTAGTGCCAGCCTTGCAGATTCAGCCATGCACAGGTTTTAGGTGCCATGTCATGTGACCCTTACCTGCTTGTCCTTGGTGAGAATCCCAAAGCATTCTTGGCTGACAGGTATATGATGAATACAGAGATTTTTCAATGTGCTTGGCAGTCCTTGCACAATTACCCCACACTGACAGCTGTGTTTGATCTTCAGTCAGTTGTGCTTTTTCTGTACAATTGGCACTCCTTTTATTTTTGCCTTAAGTATTCTCTAGCTGCCCAGGAGTAGTTCAAAATGGAACCTTCACATAGTCTTGCATTTCTTTTATTTTCATCTTTGGTTTTCTTTCGTGATCACAGAAAGAGATCATAGACACTCAAGTGCACTGGATGAGAAATACAAAAATGCAACTGAAGTTAGTTAATAAGTGTCTGAACTCCAGGTTTCTCATGCTTTGAAATTGAGGAAATGAAAAAAAAGATAAATAAAACCTTTAAAAAACAACTTCATGAATCAGTGGAAATTACCATCATAAATATCTAAACCATACACTGAAGTAGAGGGGCAAATTGGGGAATTATACTTCATAACTGTAGTGGAATTTGGAAATCAGGGATACAGACTGTGAGGATGGACAAGGATCACAGGAGGCACTAAGACATCCAGAAGGAATTGACTGAAATAGATGTTAATATCAAAATTATAGCAAATGAGTAGGAGATGTCACTGTTTTAAAGTATTTAAAAAAAAAAGGTAAGAATATAAAAAGGAAATTGAAGTTCTCTTAGGAGTACTTCTCCATTAACTGATTAAATTGCTACGTGCAGTATTCTACATGGGCTGATACTGATCACACGTCATAAATAAATGTAGATGCAGATGTTTTTATCCAGTGCATTTTTTAAGTGGTAAGAAACGAAGATATATTTAAGCATTTAGAATTGACAAGATTATATTGCAATGATAACTCACTGAATGGTACTATTACAAGATACTGATAATACTTACAACATTTTGAAATGTATTTCAAATTCTTAATATTAGCATTTTAGTATTATCATTTCAAATTGTAATACATTTCTATATTAAAGTAGACAGCAAAAAATGATAGGTGAAGTTCAATACAGAAACTAATTTCAGTCTTAATGGTAATTTTTAAAGGAAGTTTAAGGTATCTGTCACTGAAAACTACCATGTGAGTGGTTTCATACAGCACTAGCTGTGGGCGTACGATCAGCATAACTGTACTAAATTAGAATAAGCTCTCTTGAAGTTATGTTCTCATGCTGAAAAATTCAAGAGACTGCTGTTTCACAACATGTGAATAGTAAATTGCCTATGTAAAGATAACTTTTAGGAGTGAAATAAGCAATGCTTGTTTTTCTAAGCAGAATATGATTTCTTAAACAAAATATGAGTAGAGTGGGAACTCCAACCTGTGCACTAAAAGGATATTTCTGCCTTCTCTTTGCCACCTGCTATTTACCATCTGATGAACTTCATTACTAGGAAATAAAGCTCTTCTGTTGTTGTTATGATTATACTGGAAGATCTTAAAATCTTCAGAATGGAAAGATAAAATGCATTTCAGGAAAATTAGAATCCTCTGTTTTATAGCACTTTGCAATTTTTCGTAACTTATTTGTGTTACTTTGTTTTTAAAGAGCAGAGGAAGAATTTCAGAACAGACATTATGATCATCTATGCCATACCACAAAAGTGAAACAAAACCTTGATTATTTTTTTTTTTTCATAATTTATCCATTAACCGTTGGGATAGGCATTGTTTCATGACAAAGTTTGGATTATTTCTGTCAGGAAGAGTTTAATAAATACTGTTCAATACATTAGCTCAATAAGACTATCTTTTCCAGAAAGTAAACCAGAGACCATAACAAATTAGTTGTTATGTTGGGAACTGTATTTCAGAACAGTTGGGAATGTCAACAAAGTAAAAAGATAAGAGGCGTAAATGCAAATAACAGATAGATGAGAAGGATATACAAGAAATTGCAACACCACATGGAACCCTAGTTAGCTTATTTGTCTAGTAACAGTAAAACCTGTTGGTCCTGTTGTTTTGTAGAAACTATATAGTGCTGTAAAGCTGTGCAAAGCAAATTTTAAATGTTAACACACTAGATATTGTAGTATTCACTTAGAGATTAAGAGCTATGGAAGGCCTAATGTTAAAGATAGTGGAGAAGCTTGTCCCATTCTCTTGAACTTGCTTGGAAACCTCTGTGAACATCCAGAAGGATTAGCTAGTAAAATCCTTTCATCTTGCTTCCACAGCTGGATATTTTTTCTATATCTACCAAAAAAGGAAACATAAATAGAAAACATTCAGTGTTCTATATTTCAGAAATCCTGTTTCCTAGGTACACTTAATTGATTTGTTAGTTAAACAACTCTTTTTAAAAAATTCTTTGAAACACTGCTGAGCTGGTAAGAGTCTCAATGGATCTGCTAATAGGATGGTAACAACAAGGCTCACCTGAAGCTTTTCTCAGTACCCAGACTGAATTAATCATAATGAGGGAAGTTGTAGCTGATCTAATTATAAATACATAATATATTTGTTGTGATTTATACTTTTTTAGTACTCAGTATAATGTTTTCAGTGTACCAGATGTCCATATGTATTGCAATTTTTTTCATTTTGAAGTTGAGTAGGAAAGGAGAGAATCCTTTACAAACAAAGTTTTATTGCACGTACTCAATAATTAGACTTGAAGTTAATTAATGTTTTATAGCTTGTCATGAGGCACTTACAAATTCTTAGTGCATTCCTAGTGCTGAAACCGGTTGCGATGTGTTTTGTCAAATTTCATCTTTATATCCAAAGGCATTTTCTTTCTCCTGCTAATTATCCAGTATTAAAATCCTATTCTTAAATCATGGTCCTCGAACTGGTATTCATCCCCGAAGAGCCTCTGACATTTCTCAGGGCTAAAAGGAGAGCAAAGCGTGAGGTTGCCTGCAGAAGACCTGCTTAGTGTTACTCTCTAGAGATCAGCAAAGCCTGGGGACTACTGCTAGAAAACGGAGGGCTTTCGCTGTGGGGAGGAGGGTCGTATCCTTTATGACTTCCTATTCCCCTTTTTCTATGCCTAACTTTCATGAAGTGAATTCTACTTGCATGTATGTGTCTCAGACTGCTGGTAAATTTGAAGAGTCGTATTTCTGCTGTCCTTTTTTTAACCCCATTACATGATTTATCTTTAAATATGCCTGAGTCATCTTTTTATGCTAAAAAGCCAGGATCCTAGCCAATTTGTGGTTTTTTTTTGAAGAAAGTAGTAATTCTTATTCAGCATTCTAAAAAATCAGCTGATGAATGTGCTAATGAAAATTCAAAACATTGTAGGGTTTGTCTACATTTAAAACTGGGTATTATGAACATCCATAAAGTAATCCCCATACTTTAGTTTTCCCACATTTGCATTAGTGTTAGACATGAAGAATTGTGTTGTTATTCAAAATCTAAATGATACTGAAACAAACTGAGCACAGATTGTGATGCAAATGCTTCTCAGTGTTTTGAAGAAACAGCAAGAGCCTTTGCAGCTGCTCTTTTCTGGAAAACAAACATTCTGTCTCTCAGGGAAGCGTGGGCCTTCAGAACTGGAATAAACAAATGCACATTGTTCTGTGTGATGTTTAAAAGATGTTGATGATAGAAGAAGGACCCAATGCGAAGTGATACTGAAGTCCTGCTACGTCGAATGACTGCCTGGCTTACATCTTGTACTCATGGCATGGCATGGGGTGCCATGAGTATTTGCAAACTCTCGTCCCTTGGAACTTTTTTTAATGGATTTTCATAAAAGACACTCACTTAAAGTGTTTTGGAAAATTATCAGAAATTCAGCATAAACCAAAAACATTTTTTATGGGGAAAATACATTTTTTTGAAACTCTAGCATGGTTTCTGGTACTGGACTAGTAGAGTTAATTGTTTCTGCTACCATTAACTACTGTTCGTCTTGCTCAATACATTGTACCTTCTGTAAGTAAGAGAAAAACAGCCTATGAAAGCTGTGCCTATTTTTTTATCTATTTTGCAGAATGCCCAGAGGATGTGTGGGGATTTCCCATGTGTCAGTACTTGAAGGACAAGGGCTGGTGCTGTGGTCGCAATGCTAGAATGTCAGCGTGCTTGGTATGATTCCCCTTCTTTTCTTTTTCCTACTGAAAGCTTTAACCAGATGTTATAGGATTCATTGTTTTTGGCTTCTAATCCTAGAGCCATGACTTTAATCCAAGACTCTACAGAATAACATCATTAATGTTGTAAGCATGATGAATTATATCTAAAAAAAATAGACCTTCCAGCTTTATATATTTTATACTTGCTGAAGGCATGAAAAAAATGAGTATTGACAGAAATATATTTTAAGAGTGGACAAAAAGGCTAAACCTTTGTTGAAACCTAAACAAGGTAACCCCTCAGGGTAACAGTTCCTGGCCAAGGACTTAGGGGGGAACAAGGTAATTGTAGAAGGATTGCAATCAGTAACTCCCCCAACGCCTTCATGATTCATAACATTGAATGTTCTGACTGTTTAAAACCTAAACAAACCTGTTCCAAAAACTAGAAGAGCTTTAAAATCCATGTGGCTTAAGAGACTGGAAACATCTTTTTAGCATTGCACCAAGAGATTAAGTGCTTTTAAAGACCTAACCTCGTCAATGATGAACTGTTGTCTGATTTGAAAAAACAGGTAGGTACTGAAAATTTCAACCATTTTTTCAGTTAGAAGACCACTATTCTTTTCCTCTAATAATTTTTAATCTCTGGTATCAAGATGGGTCACGTCACATTCTGGCTAGCTTCTGCTGTGAGCTCTGTACCTCCGTTACAGAGAACAGTGTGGACTAAAGACTCAGTACAGGCTAACATATCAAGGTTATGTAAACTTGAACTAACGTGGTAATTAAATGCTATCAGGAGAAGGTATAGGAGGACAGTTGTTTAGTATTTGTAAGGCTTAAATATGTTACGCTTGGCAAGGTACAAGAAAAAAATTGTTCCTTTTAGAAATGTTGCTGTAAAACTTACCACAAAAAGTGCTTTAAAAGGGATTTGCCTTTTCTCTTTTTCCTGTCAGTGTCATGCAATACAAATTCTTCCTCATCTGACACATTGGCTATTTCCATTCCCATTCCATTTCTTTTGGATAGCAAAAGTTTGGGCTGTTTTTCAGCAATGATAGGAAGATAAATTTTGTAAGTAAATGGCCCCCAAGAGACAGTACTGATCGTGCCATATATATCTATTTTAGATTTTGCAGAAATCACAGAAATTTGGCAGTTAAAAACTCTTTTTGTTTAAACATTCACAAAAGGCAAAGAGTTCTCCTGTGTCACTAGATACTTGTACTGTTACTATGTTGGTAATTCATGCGTTTTTCACGACTAGAATTTTCCTTGCCTTCTAGGAGGTGCAAGGGAGACAGCGCAGTGCAGCTAGACACCCATCTTCCTAGGGGTAATGGCTGGCTAGGAGAAGCCGAGTCTGCTGAGAAATGACGCTTAGCGTTATTGCTGATGGTCATTGTTACATGCCATTCAATTGGTCAAAGTGCCAGGGGCCAAAGGTTCTGGATGAGAGTGTCAGTTTCAGACCCTTACAATACGTGTTAGAACTCACATCCATCTTCTAAGCAGCAGCAAATACACGCTGATATGAGAGCTATAGTTTATGCAGCAGAAATCAAACCTGATAGTCGGCCAAAGCCATGAACGGAGGAACTGCAACAACTTGGAATGTGTTTGAAGAACAGTCTGAAAGACTTCCTATCCTAGAAGGAGAAGGGGGTGATTCACAGACAAGCAGTCTTATTTACTGTAGTGGTGTTTGGGGACTAAAGGTGACGATGACCCATAAGTCGTGAGGCATTTTTGGTTTACTATCTGATTTGTTGTAGTGTCAGAGAATTTACTGAATTTTTGTCTTAATTTCTATCTACTATGATCTTTAATACTCGGTTGAAATTTTTATAGGCACAGTATCTTTTCAACTGTGAAAAAATATTACACACTTCTAATTATTTATTATTCTTTGTCACTATGGATCATAAAATTCAAGTACTGTCACACCTGCATCAGGGTTTATGGTCTGAAGAATCTAGTGAAAGATAATGCACAGCACCTTAAACTGCAGTCCCTCTGAAGTTTTTATTTTATTTCACTTTACATATGGAAGTTGAATTTATCTGAGTACTAGGGACTAAAAGTGTTTAAAGGCATTGTACAGTGAACTAATACCTGCTTCAAAATAGTTGCATGTGCAAAGTGAATTTCTTGTATTTCAATAGGAACAGACTCAAGAAAAATGCATTTCTTTTTAGCATTTTCACAGAAAGTAATCCTCTGATACTCTTTTACGATACTAAGAAAACAAACAAATTTTGCACCCACCTATTTCCATACAGTTCGTTGTCGTTGCTTCTCCTATAAATAAACCAAAATAACAGAAGTGAGCTGATTATGAGTCCCTAAAAGTATTAACACTTTTAAGTGTGCAAGCTCGTGTTATGTCACACCATTAATCTTTCAACATGTCATCTCCTCTGACTTTTATACAATGTGTTTATAAAATGTTCTGATAAAGAATAAACATACCAGCAATTTAATTCCTTCACTCTTAAAGGCTTCGGAGCGAGTTGCAGTTGGCCAAATGGTAAGTAATAGTGTTTATTTTAGCCATTCTAAGATAAAATATGTTTCACCCCCCTTGAATGCGCTTAATCTGTGACCTTGTATTGAACTTCTGCATTTCTGGAATCTAATATACTAGCACACACTATATCAAATCATGATAAATAGCAAGTGTCATCATGAAGTCACATTTTTATTGCTGTGATTGTACTTAGTGAATATGTTTTCTTTTGACAATTGGAGTCTGGAAGAAAAGGACAGCTTAAAATTTAAGACATTAAACTACCCATCTTAACTTCTTCCGCTATCTTTCAGCTAGTACATAAATTAAGTACAAATGTCCTTCTGATATCCCTGGTTTGGATCACTCTGTCCCAGTGTTTTATCAACTAATGTAAAAATAGCAATTGTTATGACAAAAGCTTGAACCTGTTAGAAACATCATTCTCATTTTTAATCCTTGTATATTTTTTTCCCTGTGAATACTTTGAATTATTGTTGGTCAAATTATCCTTTTGAAGATGGTGCACCAACTGTGCAAATATTTAAAAGGCAAGACTGAGAGACCTCTTCTTTCCATGTGTAAGCCTTCTGACCCCAGTAGTCTTTTTGCTGTAAATGCATTTTGCCGTGAATTTTTAAATGGCAAGCGTTAACTATTTTTATGCAAACAGATCTTTCATACAGAAAGATATGAAGTTTTCAGTATATTCTGTTTTTATGAGTATGGTACTTTCTGCATGGTTCAGACTACAGTGTATGGTGATTCAGCTAGAGAATTACTCCTTTTGTCTTTAAAACGGTTTAGGGAAATTGTTATATTTATTTTGTGTAGTAGAATTTGGATCACGATCAGTACATTTTTCCTCTCTTCTTTTTCCTTCTGCCAACCTTTGAACTTTAACTTCAGAGTTTGGGTTTCTTTGTTTTTTCTTGCATTCATGGTTATGTTAGAATCTGACCCAAAAACGTAATTTTAACTGGATGCAAGAACATTAGTAAATTGTCCTCTTAAACCTGTTATGACTGATTGTAAAGAATACAGGCCAATAAGTCGTTAAGGAAGCCAATACTGTTTTTGTTACTCTGATCTTAATTTCCATGCCAATTTTAAATCTTTGATGTTGTAAAATTTTTTGCAGCTGCCTACAGAATCGTTGTTTTATCGAGCTGTTCTTCAGGTTATTATAGAAGAAATTTATGGTGTCACCAAAAGGTACGAAGCTCTGAATTCACAGAATACGAACCAAAGGTCTTATCCTCTTCCACCTCTATTCTGTAGAGAAAGTGTTTCTTAGAAAACAGATGAGTGGAAGTATTAGTTTTATCAGAATATATATACATATTGGTATTATAATGCAGGATAGTTTTGTTCATCCTAAATCCACATCACAAGTGTATTGCCCTTCCTTTACCCATAGCTGAAGTAGGTCCTCTTTAGTACTGGATATGTGGGTAAAACATATCTTCACCAGAGAAATGACAGCAAATTCACTAAAAAGTCAACACAGTCCTGGGCTGCCCTGTTATGCAGAGGTTCTGGCAGCTTTAATACTGCAGAAGACAAAAAAACACTTCCATTTCTCCTGAGAAAAACTGCTGAAAGCTCACTGGCCACCATGGCTGAGCTACTTACTGTCTATGCCTACACTGGCATGTACTGTGCCCTTGTAGGGTCGGATTTGGAGAGCTGGTGCTGAGGACATGAGATCTGCACTATACTCTCTTCTGGAGTAACTGGGTTAGATTTTATTTAGTTCTGTGGGATATATGCCTGTTAGCACTTGGAGCATATCCAGAATCACACCTTCCAGTTTAGTTTAATTTGAAAATTACTCGTATTTTGAGCTCTGATCCTATTCCACAATGTGAAGCAAGGCAGGAGAGGCGGGGGAAACCAGAATTATACTCCAGATCTAAAATGAGTGCTAGTGCAGATACCCCCAAATCTTTTGCTAAACGTGGAACCAGACAGCTTACCCTTTAGAAGGTCAATCTCCTGAAAGAAGAAATGCTTGTTTATTTTAAAATTACGTAAAATATCACATGTAAAATCATGGCTACGAAATTGTAAAGAAAAGGTGTGAGATAGATGGTAATATGTTTCATTTGTTAAAGGAAGTATAATTTAGAGTAAGTAATTAAGATTATACTTTTGAAATAAAAGCAATGGCTACCTTGCATAGACTACCCTTCCCCACTTCTATTGCTGAGCATGACGTTATACGGAGTGGAATATCCCTATGGTCCATTCAGGTCATCTGTCCCGGCCGTGTCCCCCCACACTTCTTGAGCACCCCCAACCTATTCCCTGGGGAGCAGAGGGGGAAACAGAGGAGACCTCGATGCTGAGCAATCACTGTCTGGCAATAGTTGAAACACTGGTGTGTTACCAGCGCTGTTTAGTTACCAATCCAAAGCACAGCACTGTATGGGCTGCTGTGAAGTTAGCTCCATCCCAGCCAGACCCAGACAATATCTTTCTCCTGGTAGCTTGTGGTTAGGAGGCAGATGCCTGTCTTTCAAAGAGTGACATGGCAGCATAATCATTAACTGGTTTTCAGACAGCATCAGCCCAAATATTTAGATGTGTCTGAATGTTAAATATGACAACAGTAATGATTCTCAATGATTCTCAGTGAGTGAAGGTCCTTGCCAGCTAAACAGCATTAGAACTGCCACTAACTGAAGTCTTTCTGTTGTCCTCAGTAGATGTTAATTCTGATCTTTAAATAAGAAGAAAGTGAATTTACTAAGAATAAAGACAGGGAAAAGTTTTAAGTGAAGATGTTTCTATTCAGTATTTCACTGCGGGGAGGGAATGTATTTCTTCTTAAGCAATTTAGTAGCTAAAAATTCTGTAGCTGAAAATGTAACACCTGCGCTGCACAGCTGGAAGAGGAATTACGTTAGGACACAAGAAAGCAAATTCAGACTAACAAAAATTTTGCATGTTGTTTCTTAAGGATATTTTAAACACAGAGAAGAGAACAAGTGTAAGTGGCCTGTTAGGTTTCAGTCTTCCTGTACGGTTTTTAAGTTTTTGTGCATTATTTTAACGTGTTTTCTGAAACAACCCACATTTTTGGCTGGCTTCAAAAGTAGACTATTGAGTTGTAAACAGGAGAAAATTCTGGCATCACTTAGTGAAATAAAAATTGCAAGGATAAGAACACAAGGTAACAGGCAAAAGTGAAATTTTACTCCAGCTTGGCATTTGCTCAGTCCTGTGGTTGATGGTAAATGAATTACAGCAGCATTATAGTAAATAATAGGAGTATTATAGAAGTATGGAAAGAAATATCTGTCAACGGAAATAAGAATTTTTTCATTCATATAGGGAAATAAAAGTATTAGTGGAGAAATTAAAAAGAAACCTTCAACTCTCAGATTTTTAGGTAAAATAATAACCGTGCTATAACCACAGTACAATTGTACAGTTGGTGTATCTAGAAGTTTCTTTGTATTAGCTAGCTTGTTTTGTTTTAAGTAGAAGGGTGGAAAAAGGAATATTGTTACAACTGGCAGTAGTAGGTGTCCAACTAATTTATTTCTCCTGAATTAAAAATTCAATTAAAAAGTAATTTAAAATGTGTAACTTTCTGTTGTTGGAAGTATAAAAGCATGCATCTCAATGCTGTATTTGCAGTGATCGACATGTTGGAAAAACTTACTCCAAATCATCCTCCTTCATAGATTATGTCAGAAAGTCTCTGAAAAAGCTGGAACTGGATGATTCAAAGGTGAGTCACTGAAGAGAGACTGCATGAAATTTTTATATCCATGTAAGTTCTTGAAGTCACCACCACAATGCAATGTTTAAGCCATTGAGTTGATTGAGTTTGTGTATTGCTGTATAAATATAAAGCATTCTCATTTTTATTAATAGACCCAATTCATACTTACTTTATCTATTCCAGAAATATACATATCAAAGTTGGTTTTTTTTCCTGTTTTTTTGGAAATAGACTTCCATATATAAATTCTTTAAAATATTTTGTTTTAATATTATTCTAATGACTTTATATAAAAACAATCCTTTTTTATACATGGTGCTCATGATCAGATTTTTTTTTAGCCTTTCCAGTATTTCTGAAGTTAATTCTACAAATCTCCTTTGAGTCAAAAAAATGTAATACATATTCTGTATTATATGTGCTGTCATATTTAGAGGTACATATACTTTTCGGATGCTGAGTGAAGCAGTCATGAAGCACTTCTTGCCTGTGCTGATACTATATATCCTGATAAAAGCAAGTCTTGCACTGTGTTAAATCCAGCTGAAATACTATCCTATACAAACATGTTACTTTTCCATCTGTACTTAAGTTTAAACTGAAAGTGATCCAAAAAAACATGAATAATGAATCACATAGTAAACACTTTGACCCCTTTTTATTTTCTTTTTTTTTTTTTTTTTTACTGCAGCAATATTATCTTGATCCCTTTGGACTCCTTTTGAAACTGAAAAGTGTAACATTATAGCAAGATAGGCAATTCTGTCCATGCAGTATGTTTCTCTTACAATTTAGTTCCCAAAGTCTTCCCGATTTATTTTAGCCTTCAGACAGTCTCCTTAAGTAGCCTTTGAAGAGCTTTGAAGGCCTAATACTTTTTTTTTCCTCAAATTAATAAATGTTGAAGATAAATGCTAAGATGTTTAAATAACTTTCTGAGATAGAGAAAAAGAAGTAAATACAAAATTGAGATATAAGCTTATAAAATCTTCCAGAGATTTTTTAATGTTCTTGAATGTCTTGTCTTAATACTACAATTGCTAAATTGGTCAACAGATGGCAACATAGCATTAGGCATGGAATATGATTGTGTGAAGATCACAACTACTGTGTGAGAACAAGTTGTGCAATGGAGACACTAGAGAGTATTAGGCTGATTATTAAAAATGTAGTACAAATCAAAGAAAAAAAAGGAGTGGCAAGAGTGTAAAATATTTAAGGTAAATGTGGTAGTAGTCTGTAGTAAAGCAATGCTTAAAATCTGTAGTCAAAATGTCAAATCACTTAAAATTTGCTAGGCACATCAAACCATGAACTAGGAGAAGAATTCAAAACTAAATAAACAAGTAAATGCAAATGACATTGGAATCATGCTTACAACATTAAGAAAAAGACTTATGCCTGAGGTTCACTGTGTTTTAAAAGGATTATATTTAATTCTGTTTGCAAATTGAGTTACCTGTTTGCTTTTCTGTGTAAACAGGCACTAACATCATCCAGTTACCCCAGCGGAAGGTAACTACTAAAATGGTGTCTTCCTCAGTATGTGTACAATCACCCAAAAGCAACAGTGGATTGTTTTATGCAATAATCAGTTTACTAAATCATTGATTAAACTCTGCTGCTAGAGAGTTATAGATTATTTTCTTTAAAATCAGTAAGCACAGAAACTTTGTGTCAATATGTCTGATTTTAGATGCGACGCCGTTTGCTAGAAAGGGTCTGGACAAATGCAGGTTTCCTCAAGAGAAGGATGTCTGTCAACACTACTTCAAGCTGCACATGTTTGTGTGGTTGCTAAGGACCTGATTCAAGGAAATGCTCGTTTTCGCTTATATTTGTCCTCGGTTTTATGTGCAGCTGGGTGCATACTGAAGACTGAATTTTATGTTGATCTAAACAATACTATTTTTTGTATCCCAGCTATGTTGAATTTTGCAGCAGCACAAACCCATGCTATTTTGATACTACTGAGAGAAAAGTTGTTATTGCTCCCTCAACAGTGGTTCTGGTCAGTGGTTCTGACACTGCAGTTTTCATGGTGGAGTCAGCACTATATCTGCACAATATTGGACAATGTGTTAAATTTCTCTCTTCAGAAAAAAAATACTTACATAGCTAAAAATGTGATGAAGCCTAAACATTTGCTCTCAAAGACAACAAAAATCAGAGAGAAATTTATGCAGAATTTGTTTTCTAGCTCTGTTTTTAAAAACAAACAAAAGAGCAGCTGTATTGCATAGACCAAATGTCTACTCTGTCTCCGGCAGTGGCCAAAAACTGATGCCTTGGGAAGAATGCAAGGCAAGAGTAAGCATATATGAAGGATACTTCCAGAATAATCCAAAATGTGCCTGTCATTCACAAAAAAAAGGAGGCAATCATTGTCCTCATGGATAAATTTATTTAGGTGATGTTAAAAAAACAGCTAACACTTAGTAACACTGTGTAGTACGAACAGAACTGTGAGAAAATATTGCTTGCATACGAGTCTATTTTACATCTACAAAAACATTTTATGAAAAATTTGTCAAAAATCTGTGAGTCTCAGGTTTTACCATGCTTATCAGAACATTGAAGAGAGTTTAATCTCTGCATGGAAATAAATGTACTAGGAAGTAGAAGGGAAGTGGCACTGAGTTTTTAGGAGTCACTGGCAGGGTTTGATAGCCTGGCATGTATGGTAAAGTCATGGATGTTTTTGATCACGGTGGCTGAATCTGAACTGTGGGACATAAACATCCTGCCAAACTCGTGGTTCATGATGAGCATCACAGCTGCTTGCTTTATACACACCAATGCCTCTGTTTCTGATCAAGGGATAGCCCTGGTGCAATCCTCTTTCCAGTCTGGACAAGTGTGGAGGCAGGATAAAGAGAGCAAGTGTGTAAGACACCTAAACCAGATACCTAAATCCAGCTGGCGGCTGGTCACGAGTGGTGTTCCCCAGGGCTCAGTTTTGGGTCCAGTCTTGTTTACAGTCTTTATCAATGATCTGGATGAGGGGATTGAGTGCTCCCTCAATAAGTTTGCAGATGACACCAAGTTGGGTGGGAGTGTCGGTCTGCTTGAGGGTAGGAAGGCTCTGCAGAGGGAGGTGGCCAGATTGGATCAATGGGCCCAGGCCAACTGTAAGAGGTTCAACAAGGCCAAGTGCCAGGTCCTGCATTTTGGTCACAGCAACCCCATGCAACGCTACAGGCTTGGGGAAGAGTGGCTGGAAAGCTGCCCAGCGGAAAAGGATCTTGGGGTGCTGGTCGACAGCCGGCTGAACTTGAGCCAGCAGTGTGCCCAGGTGTCCAAGAAGGCCAACGGCATCCTGGCTTGTATCAGGAACAGTGTGGCCAGCAGGGGTAGGGAGGTGATCGTGCCCCTGTACTCTTCCCTGGTGAGGCCGCACCTCGAGTCCTGTGTTCAGTTTTGGGCCCCTCACTACAAGAAGGACATTGAGGTGCTGAAGCGTGTCCAGAGAAGGGCAACGAGGCTGGTGAAGGGTCTAGAGCACAAATCTTACGAAGAATGGCTGAGGGAACAGGGGCTGTTTAGTCTGGAGAAGAGAAGGCTGAGGGGAGACCTTATTGCTCTGTACAACTACCTGAAAGGAGGTTGTATTGAGGCAGGTGTTGCTCTCTTCTCCCAACTAACTAGCTATAGGACGAGAGGAAACAGCCTCAAGTTGCGTCAGGGGAGGTTTAGATTGGATATTAGAAAAAATTTCTTTACTGAAGGAGTGGTCAGGCATTGGAACAGGCTGCCCAGGGAAGTGGTTGAGTCACCGTCCCTGGAGGTGTCAGAAAACGTGTAGATGTGGCACTTCAGGACATGGTTTAGCAGGCATAGTGGTGTTGGGCTGACGGTTGGACTTGATGATCTTAGAGGTCTTTTCCAACCTTAATGATTCTATAATTCTATGATAAAGTGCCTTCATAGTCACTTATGTAAGTGTATGCCTTTTGCTAAATATAGAACTGATGAAGACTCTGTATCAGGTGTAAATATCCAAACAGTAAGCCAATTTTTGCTATTGTTTTTCAGTAATCTTTACTGTTTTTTAATCCTGCCAATTCTTCATGTGAACAAACCTCTCTGCCTCTTTCATTTTTGAAATAGATGTGAAGATCTTTGCTTATTTGAAATACGAACCATACTGTTTATGAAAAGATTGTCAATCAGAAGTGAGTTAGAGTGAGGCAAAATATTAAAATAGTTTTTCTACAAAGAAAAAAGCATTTGTCAATCACCTAGGGCCCTTCGCTGTTATAAGTTACTGTTCAGGATCTGAAGTTTCCTATTACCTTAGGCAAAATAATTTCCTCCACCGTGTTTCTTTTCAGTGTGGAAGAGCCTGTCAAGTCCAGATTAAACACTGAGATGCAAATGAACTATTTTTTCTACCTTTTGGTACAGGACCGTTCCTTTCACACATCTGTCCACCTCAGTAGTAAAATGGAGATATACACCATGACTACTGAATCTGTCTGACAAAATATTCTCATTTTGTGTGGGCAGAGAGGTGTCCTTTAGTGTGAGCTTGATGCTGCCCAAGTACCGTTATGTTGCTTCTAGCTTCAGAACTAATGGAATTGCTTTGTGGGCCGTGGATCCCTGCACAGACTTTCAGTTACTGGTGCGGATATTCCAGAGCAGTATTTTATTCCTGGTTGTTTTCTTTGTCATAGCTCACTCTGTTCCTATACACTCCCTGTTGAATGGGCAGAGCATTCAGTGTCACGTAGATATGGGAGAAATTCTTTCTATCAGAAAATTTCTTTTCCCTTTTATTCACTGCTTTATCTAATGTAACATGACTGTGGGACTCTCACTTGAGACAACGAAGCGTTCAACCCTTTTCTTTCTCCTAGAGGAGCTGGCCACTTTTATGCTTGTTAGCATTGCTCCTTTCAAACAGCAAGAGCAATCGCTCCTTGCTCTTCAGCAAAATGTGTTTCAGCTCGGCTTGTAGCTGCCTTGCAGATGGATTTGAAATGAAGCCTCTTTATTAATGC